TTGACTCAGTTTGTTGATACGACTCCCAAATATGACTGAATATTTAATAGCTGACATTCGGGTGAATCCGCCTTTTTTCATAGCCCGAAGCCCCTGACAACTTTGAGATTCTATAGCACCTTTCCTAGGCAGTTTTACCACCGTTTACATATTGCCCCTCTCGTCCTCATAGGCCCCCCTTTCGCTCGAATGGGTGACCTGGAAAATCTAGCCGTTGTGCCAAACCATTTCCTGCTGCTTGGTATAGGGCAATACGATTTCTCGCTCTGTTTTGTTCAAGGGGACCATGTTGCAGTTCAATGGAAATGTGATCAGGGCGTAGTTCAGTTCAGAGCAAAAGACTCTACCTTGACTGGACTCAATTCGGAGTTCACATTCTAGAAGTAAACGGGAACGGGACCGGGAGTCGCATAAACCAGCTCCCCTTTTATTTGTTTTTACTTACTACTAATTCTATTTTTGTAGATTTATTTTGGTTTAAATGACAGTCAGACAAATCGAGCAATTTCAGGTATTCTTCGCAGCTGGGATGCTCACTACAGTATCAACTGCTCTCATCCCTTTGGCTGCCCATAATAATATTTACGCATTTTTGGTGCTTCGATTTTTACAGGTTATTCATTACACAGTATGTAATTTACAGTACAAAAATGATTCAAAAATTGGTGGAACCACCAAACTCCACCCCCAGTCCCTTGCCCCGCCCTCCTCCCCCTCCCATCGTGACTTTCGTTGAAAATCGTGGTACCCATAGACATTTAGTGACTTATGAGCCATCAGGAGTTAGTCCTTTTAGCCTCTCAGTTGAGCCTAGAACTAATTGACAGGCCCTAGAATGATGGAAGGCATAGTTAGCCCAAGCGGGTAGCCGGGATTCGAACCAGGGACCATGTAACAAATCCCTTTTTGCCCTACATGATCCCCGTCTCTGAATTTATGAAAATGATGCCTTTGGGGACTAAAATTATGTCCTACAAATTTGATTCGTTTCAGTTTTAGTATAAAAATCGATGGACTACTTTTCAGGGTGTGTCTTGTGCAGCGTGTATGCCTACAGTGGGAGCTGTGACAGCTGCATGGGCATCACTGAAACAACATGGTCTTTTTATGTCCACGTTGACGACATTTGGACAACTCAGTGCTGTGTTCGCTATGCCAGTGTCTGGAGAGGTAAGCAGAGAAAATTGATAGGCACTTGATGGCCTATGATGCAGCGTCAAGGTAGTGCTTGTAGTAACCTGCAAGGAGCAAAATCATCGGTAGAGTGCAGTCATCTCCCACTTTGATGGATCTGAGTGGTTTTTACAAGTCACCCAGATCCACCCATGGAAAATTTTTGAAGTGCCCATGGACCCAATACACATTACCGGTGGGAACTCCACTGGGGACGACAAGGACCAGGGCTGGCTGACCCTGTATCGTACAAAACGACAAAGCATTTTCAGCGTCAGTGATATAGAGGTACCATACCATAAAATATAATGAATATAGGATTTAACAATCGTAGTAACACGGTGGAGATGCCATTGGGCGGGACCCTTCTAGTCTCTTAAATTTGGGACGATTGACGTCGAAACCCACTCGGCCACCCCGCCCACTCCGCGCGCGACGCGGCCCACTGCGATCTCCAGGTGGCACTACAGTGTCCCTCAGTGTCAGTGAAGCGATTGGATTGCACTAGTCCATGATATCCTCACTTTAAGCTGACAATGAGCACAATGGGGTGACTGTGCAATCTGCGACTGATCCCATCTCTCTTGCGCGGAAGTCGTCTGACCCAGCGCCCACCTGCTATTGTACAGGTCACACCGCACTGCTCGTGTGCTCTGTGAAAATCATTAATCAAGAGATCAAAAGAACCGGCGTTCTGTTTTCCCTGAGGCAATCTTCTGCTGTCTGTCCTTGCTCACTCAGTGATGTTTACTAACAGTACGAACAGTAAGAGATACGATTCTGATCTTGGCTAGTCGCGATTGAGGGGCTTGGCTCAACGGCCGAGTCCACAATCCATATACTGGACTCTTCCGGTGAGCCGCCAAGCCCACGCCTACCCTTGGGGCATGAATAGAAGGAGCAAGAGAGGCTGAAAATACGGCGACCTTGGATTTCTAGTGCCTACCTTTGTGGAGGATGAGTGTCAGCCTGCTCGATGCCATGTTTCTATTTTTTCGAGGATGGCTTCCGCGCACTGGCGGGCACTTCTACTCGATTGAGATTCTGCAAATCGTCAATTTTTCATTTTGTTTGTAACCAGTTAGTCTTGTTCTCGACATTAGAACCTGTAAGGTTAAGGGATGATTCTCTTTTCCAGTCCTTTGCTGCTAATTAGGAATAGGCAGCGTTAGGAAGTTGTTCCTGTGCCCTGCTCTTCACAGATTTCTCCTAATTGGGCAGTAGGAAATAGGGCATATGGAAGTAGAGCTCGCTAACCGAGACGCATGTCTTGAGCACCGTCAACTTACTCATTGTGGGGCCGGGTAGTCGAGCAGAGCACTTTTTTTGCAATTTTGTATCGTAGGCTCACTGAGCCGTTTTATCAACACTGTTTAGTTGTGCACATCGTCTCTTGGCTGGGAATCAGTGTTCTACCTTCATGCACTTATTTGCCTGATCTCTTTTGTTGGATGGTTCTTTTTATACACAAACAGTCCCGGTAAGACCATTTTTCCATTATTATTTACGTCTCGAATCATTCCTTTATTTGTGAATATCCATTTCAGAACATCATCCGTTGGTCTCAAAGCACGAGCTTGCCGATATCAACGATGGAAAGTCAGAATCGTCATTAAAAGTTAGTATCGGTATGAACATTTGGGCCAATCATCAGGACAAATCAGGTTGAGAAATGAAGTGCTTGGCGATGGCCATTCAGTTGGGATTGCACTACTTTTACTGCGTAGCTTCATTCAGCAGGGTAGCGCCACTCCAATGGAATACTCTTGTGCTCCCGCCCAAACTGAAATGAGATCATCCCTGAATCGTGGCTAAAGTCGAAACACGATGAGTGAGCAGGCTGCTACAAGGGGGACGGTCCTAGCTGGGCAGAATCCGTCAGGGGCGTACCCGGTCTGGACAGTTTTTCAGCTCCTTACTGCTCCGGCCTTAAGTCGAGCCGCACCGAAAGATACAAGCGAGCCACCTAAGTAAATAATTTTCGCTTGTTGTAACGGAACGGTTTTGACTCGAAGGAAGCGTCCCATGTTAGAGGGGCAGTCTGGCTTACATAAGATCCCAGCTGGCTACCCGGCTTTTGTTTAGAATCCGCAAATGGGCTGTACAAGCAAAAGTAGACAAGGGAAAGGCTTACTGGTCCAGTCATTTCGATGTGTTTGACTTTTCAAAAAGAGCTGGTATACCTGAGGTTACACTGATAGAAAAAGCTCCGCCGAGCTGGTGCTTCTCGTGAGAGGGCAGCAGGACCCTCCTTATCATTGTCTTCCAAGATTAAATGATACAAAGTAGTTCCATGCTTTCATTTAGGCAGAGGAAACAGAAGTTCCGATACCATATCTCGAAATTCTAACCACTCCAAGTGTATGGGGAGTGTGGATAGGAGCTCTTGGGGATTTAATTGCTGTGCAGGTAATCGCCTTCTTTTGGAGAGAGTTGAATCAAAGTACCCTAAAATTCCATAGATAAGAGCGGGTGAACCTACCGGTGAAAAATGAATTGGAAAAAATCGAAATTGAATGCAGTCACCCCTCTAACTTGATGGATGGATAAATTAAACTTCGAAGAAGAAGTTAAGAAGAAGCTCCGCCCCTCAACTCTAAACCCCGCCCACTTAATAAGTAATTCATATAGAAAAATAGCGATTTTAACGGATCGCTGTTTTTCTA